CTCGATTTCGCTAGAGAGGTATTGATCTGGTACATGATATGTAAAGTTGATGCACCTCGACTTGGGTATGAACTCACCATAACCTAACATAGCCACCTTCCGGAATTTCGGGCTACCTCTATTGCTGGTATATTGACGCATACAACGTGCTTGGAGTTCTCAGCAAGGTCCAAAGGACCACCTGCTGGACTAGCGTTGGTCAAAGTCGAGCCGCAGCGCCTTGCTAGAGACTTCGTGATATCCTGGAGGGAAGAAGAGGCGCTACGCTTCACGTGAGGATATTGTCTTGATGAGGGCGCAGTGTTTAAAATGGCAGAGAGACCGGAAGAAGTGGGTAATGCACGAAGGTCAGAACTACGGAGCTGCGGAATACTGTCAGTATCGTAGCCAACTGGAAAGCCAGTACATACACCTGGCTGGTCTATCACCAGAACAGTATCGTAGGAGCAGATATCTTCTGGCGAGAGAACTCCACCAACTATGCTCACAGAATCTTCATACCGTAGATCTGGAAATAGACTGTTTAACATGGACGAGCTGTGCCGAAGTGAGTCCTGACCGAATAATTGATACAGCTGACACAAACCTTTTAGATGACCATGCCACAATTGGAACTGTGTCCGAGTACCCCAGCACACCGACCACAGGGAACAGAGCCAAGATGGCAACGCGTCCAGCCATGAAGAAGTTACTAGTTATGATGTAGCCTGAGGATGCGTGACGCTTGCAGCCTGAACTTGAATTACATAAGCTAGGTTGTACGTGAAACTCAGTTCTGTAACTTAGTGTAGGCAACAGTCATGGCCACTATTCCTCCTCAGGCGAGGTCCAAGCAGCTCCGAGCATGCTTACTATGTTCTATCATTCAACATCCCATGGATTTTCGGAAGAATGGTTGTCCAAATTGCGAAGAGCTCATGCAGGTATTCCGAGGATGATCATCGTGAATTCTCCCTGCTTTCGTTAACGTTTTCTCAGATGAAAGGTTCTCCTGACCGCATAAGTGTTTGCACCACCACCTACTTTGATGGTATTATTGCTGTCATCGATACTGAAGCTAGTTGGGTTGCACGATGGCAAAGAACATGTAAGTTTACCCTGCTGTGAGCTTACTAGATGTATACTGATTCCTGATTGCAATTCGTTTTATAGCAAAGTATGTTCGGGGAATGTATGCTGTCCGCGTAAAAGGTCGTATTCCGGAAGATGTAGAAGCTGAACTTGAGTCCCGTGGCATCAAGTACCGTCCAAGAGACCAGAGTGATCAGGATTAGCATGTTCTTATGGTATGCTACATTTCATGTGACAGTTCGTTTTTTCACGATTTACACTAGCTTTTTCGCTGCCTTTGACTCTTAGTAGCAGAATTAGTGACCAGCATAGATTTTCGTTATACGCTACATTGTCCACTCGCCATAACCCATAGTTACTGGAGCAGTGGAACCAGCGCCTGAGTCGGGAGCACATGGCACATGAATCACAGTTGTCGCAGAGACTTGTCGCTTACCTTCGATCGCTGTTCATACAACTATGTAGTCAAGCTCTATACGGTAACGCAGGACACGAACCAGCAGTCAAGTATATACCGAATCAGAGCAATGTGATAGTCCTCGGCAAAGTATGTATACAAGAAGATATTAATCCATGGCCTTACAGAGTAGCGGATACACATGAACACACCTGAAGGGTATCAGAACAACAGTCACTATAGTCAACTAAAACTTATAATGCAGGGTAATGGATAAATGGGGACAGGAGGCATTCAGCAATAGTCTGCCCTCAGCAAGCCCTTGGTATCAAAGCAGCTCATGAAGGATCTGGTCATATCGATGAGGCATGTGTGACCTAGAAAAGGGCGTCAACATGTAATCCAGTGTCACGGGTCAAGACACACCTAAGCATATTTCTTGAGAAAACTATTTGAGAAAATACTTTCTCGACGTCCAAGACCTCGAATAGTCTCAATGTTTTATCAGGATGCGTATCAGGCTGTCGGGACTGATGTGAGGGGTGCAGGTCACAGTCCCTAACAGCCCATAAGACGCGGCCAGGTGGGAATAGGTCAGCCATTTGCATATTTGCCTCGAGAGTTTTTCGCATCGACAGAAACTACGCCACGCGTCAATCCAACCAAAATTGTTATGTTGTGATGCATAGAACATACCCAATGAAAGTCATCCGATGACCCATCTCCGGCCTTCCATCGCTTGATTCTATTGGTGATGACCGAATATCCTTCCGTACCACCATTCCGCTCATTTGCATCACATAACCAGAGGGCTGCATTACGAATGTCCCGGACAGAACCGAGCGACAGTCGAGACACAATGTCATCGGAACATACAAACGATGTGACCATTTTCGATGCTAATCGGCTAAGCCCAGCATCTGTCAGACAACTAGGGAGATTCAAAAAATGACCCAGTCGAATAAGATACATAACGTACGGAGGTCCTATGCAATATACGGATACGTTGTGGTCCGTTGGTAAGCCGCTTGAAGGTACTGTCAAGCAAGTTGCAGGATCCGCCCACATCTAGATGGAACATGTCAATATACGGCAATCACAGCTTGTTCGCTTTCACCATAGCCAAGAGAACTGCAACCCCTGCTCCCAAACTATGCCCGCAAAGTATGAGTTCTGGTTTGCAATCAGTTGTAACAAATGTGAGTGTCATTATAACAATCTCAATTACCGTATCCAGGATTGCGAGTCAATGCATCCATGACAGCCACATGGACTGGTTTGCCAATCTCACCCATCACACGGGCCATACGAAGCATCCCTCCATGAACTTGGTATTTGGGCTGCTTGTCATGAGAAGTCGTCGAGAGAATAGACAAACGCCTTCGAGGGAACCTTCTACTTGACCCAGGAAATGATATGCTGTCTCCGGTGTCTTCCTGAGATGCGCTCGATACAGGTTCGAATTCTACCGGATCGCACGTCAGATCAACAGCGAGCTCGTTGAGTGACATTGTGCCTGTAAACCATAGTCAACCCAAGACGAACGGCTTCTCTCCAAATAAGGCCACCTCGTAAAACAAGCACGACCTGGTGTCTATCGTGGTCGGTTAAAACCCAGAACCTAGGCATCTGGCGCTCAATTCCAACAACAGCCGTTGCGCGAGCCCTTGCCTGTATATTTGGCTGTTCTACTGCCTCCCCATGTACCGACCTTTCAAAAATTTCCTTGTCATGCTTACCCATCAATATGTCCCACCAAGAGTACTCCAGATTATCAGAAGGCATTCCGCTGGACGAGGAATGTCCTTCCAATTCATCTTCCGCAGCATTCACAGCATCCTGGAGCTGCGCCTCTTCTGCGTCTTTTTCATTACGAGGGGACGACGGGTTTAAATTGCGGGGCGGCGATGTCAGAAGTAGAGGAACTCCGAAAAAGAGTAGACTTGCGCCACCATAGCCGGCAAGAACCATTTTGGAAAATCGTCGCAAGTTAGTCTTTAGCTCAGCTATAGACTTTTGCGGTACATCTATACGCGTTTGGTTCCATCTAAAAGAAGACATGGACGATATTGACAATCTCGACAGGACACTCTGAGACCTGGACCGAGTATGAGACTGCGTAGATGCTTCTCCAATGTCCGCAGATATTAGTTGGCCTTGATGCCCCGGGAATATCACGTCAGACGTTACTCGAACTCGTGAAGGCGTATGTTTGAGATGAGGAGCGGTGGACGGGTCATGAAACTGAATCTCGCGAAGGTATGGGAACCAACTCTGCTCTTGCCACTCGTGGGTGATGCCTTGCAGAGCCACCCATGCAACCAAAGCTCTAGCGACCTCTGTTATCCCGTACCTTCTCCCCGGGATATGCTCGCGTGAGCCAGGATGATCCCACTCACGCTTTACCAGATCGATGAACGATGCCAAAGAGAAGGAGGCTTCGCTGCTGCCAGGGAAAATGACGGAGAGCATATCGATGGAGCTATAAGCTGCTCGTAGGGAAGCTGACGAAATATACTCCCCGGCATGGATGGGAGCAAGAGTAAGTCTCTCAGCGAAGGTAATAGCACTCGCTGACTGCGCCTTCTAAGACCGGCGCAGCGACCTCGCTCCCACCGAAGATTGCATGATCGAGGGCGGAAGCGACCACACCCACGACACTGGACGCTGCATCTCGAGCAACCGAGAACTATGGAGCAACTTCAGCTCTGCCAATCGGAATGCGGGCATTATTCGGCTTACCCCCAGTCGTGTTATACCCTTGACAGCGGTGAACGCAAGGGAGGTCGCCTGCTGAAGTGAGGTCAAGACTTTGCCTGCTAAACCTCTGCCAGTTATAGTCCATGATTATTGGTGAGAACGAAGGGTATCTGTAGGCAGGGCAAGTCCATGCCTCAGCTGCTCAGGTAAAGAATAACAACGTCAGTTCCAGATCAAAGGAAGCAACACAAAGCCTGTGATTCCGTGGACACACGATCCTAAATTAGATTCAGCAGTGACTAAAATGGCATATTTATGGAATATTATAATTTGCTCGATTTGCTTACCTTGCAAGTAGTGACTTAGCTTCCTTCATGCGCTCCAGCTTCCGCTCGTTGCTTGCCAGCTCTCCACGCAGTCGCTGGCAGGTGTCCCCCGTCACAAATATGCACATCCCTGAGAACATATGCTACTGAAGCAGTGCCAGATTACGAGCACAAGCCTTCACATTACGGCCAACCACTCTTTCAGTCACACCCCCACCTACGTGAGTTTAAGTCCTTTGGTTCACTTCCTACACCTTTTTCAAAGATAAGACAGTTAGGCCCAATGAACTCACACCCGGGATTCCCTCCGAAGAGTATGAGCGGCGTCGGAAAGAACTCATGGACAGCCTACCTAGCAATAGCGTGGTAGTTCTGATTGCTGCACCTGTTAAATACATGAGCGGAAGTATGTGAATATTCTACTCTCCTTCTTCAATACCTTAAAATCCGCTTCAAGATATATTGTAGGACTTCGCCAAATCTGCGTTGATTGCTTGCCTAACATCATGGCTTCAAGTTACAAATACCGTCAAGGATCTGACTTCTGGTATCTTACTGGTTTCGAAGAGCCTGATTCTGCCGTTGTTCTAGGTACGCAGTTGACATATTTCGTTAGGCTTGGACTTACTTCCTACCAGAGAAGAATGCGTCTTCTCGAGGATATAGGATGACACTGTTCTCGAACGGGAAGGACTCTGCGAAAGAGAAATGGGATGGCCCGAGGTAAATTCTGAAACTAGGATGATGTCTTGAAACAATATCTTTTTCAGGACAGGCTTTGATGATGCTCTGAATGTCTTTAAAGCGGACGACGCGCTAACAATCAAGGCTTTTCCTGCTCAACTGCGATCTATGATTAGCCTCTACTCTAATATTTATATTGACCTGCCCCAGTCTCCGCGCAAAAATGCACGCTCCACCAAGTCATTACTTCGGTATCTTTCGCCTCCTGTCAATCCTCGGTCAGAGTACGAGACTGTCGTGGAGTCGTTGTCAAATTCCCGGCGGAAATCCCTTGCTCCTCTCATTGCCCAATTAAGGGCATTCAAGAGTGTCTGTGAGCAGCAGGTTATGAGAATGGCCGCTGACATTAGCGGTCGCTCCCATGCAAAGGTCATTGGCTTCTTAAACCATCACTTGTTACTCTGATACGATGATTTTTCGTCTTCAAGACAATGCGCTTTACACGACCCGGTATCTCAGAGAGTGCACTAGCAGCTCATTTTGAATACTTGTGTAGTCTATCAGGCTCACAGCGCCTTGCATATGTCCCTGTTGTTGCATCTGGGTGAGTCTTCAGCTTCGAATGCACAACATTGAGATCTTGAACCTGTAGTGCAGGCCAAATGCACTCATCATACACTATACGTCGAACAATCAAGTTGTACAAGATGGTGAGATGATTTTGATGGACGCTGGGTGTGAATATAAGTAAGTCATTTCGTTGGGTCCTTTCTGGCATACTAACATTTTTAAGCGGTTACGCGTCTGACATCAGTGGGTGTTACTAATTCTGCTTCCAATATCATATTGCCCACATCTGGTTAAGCTCGCACGTATCCAGCGAATGGTTCCTTTACACCTCCGCAAAAGGAGCTATATAGTGCAGTGCTGTCTGCGCAGAAGGCTCTTGTGGGGTTGTGCACGGAGGCACAGGGATTGAGTCTTCATGACTTGCATCGAAAATCTTGCGATCTCCTCAGACAGGAACTGAAACAGATAGGGTTTACTCTCCATACAGGAGATCTGGAGAGAGTACTTTACCCTCATTTCCTCAGTCATCCAATTGGGATTGGTGCGTAGGTTTCTGCTGTTACTTTCTAGGGTCTTGATGCAAGGATTTCCTAGACTTGCATGAATCATCATATTCAGACAGAGGAGAGCTGTACGTAACTCTCGTAGTTTTGTCTTCCTTAGATCTAGAGTTCACCTTCCATGCAAGATTGAAAGCCGGGATGGTCATTACTGTAGAGCCAGGTACGTATTTTGTGCATTCTATTAATAATGAGCACTAATCTTGATCGACATTTAGGAATATATGTCCCGCCTACCGCTCAGTTCCCAAAGCACTTCCATAACATTGGCATTCGGATAGAGGTTGGCTGGGATATCTGTATTCTCCGCAGTTTTACTGACATAGCTTACAGGACGAAGTCCTTATTGGCGAGAAACACCCCGTGGTTCTCAGCGTTAGTGCACCAAAGGAGGTTCGTCCTGATCTCTTCTCCTCGCCGGATGGACTAAAGATGCATGCATGTTTAGATTGCGGATATAGAGGGTGCGTGTCAGGGACTACTGGGACTGGAGCCAATTTGAGGCTGGAGAATCATCTTTACATAATATCTATCTAGAACTCGCTCAACCTATGTGCTCCCATGTTATGCTCCCGGACAGCATCACTCATCCTCAGGATGATCAACTGCCTCATATGCCTTGAGTATCTGGTCCTTCCTGAGCCACTTTTCTTCAGGAGTGAAGTACCAGCTCAGGAAAGCGAAAATGGAAATTGCGCCAAAGATAACGGTGGCCTTCCACGAAGGTCATTGGACGAACTGATGAGGACAACTGTAAGACTCACAAAATTGAATGTCTGAGCGTTCACAGGGAACTCAAATGGCGATATATCGACCTGGCGCCAACTGAGTTCGAGTCATGTGTCATCGAGTGAAAGTAACGCACCGCAAATACCAGTGCATTAAATAAGACAGCACAAACATAGAATGGCTTGGCGTATTTTCCCAGCTTGAAATGAGAGGACTGGAAACGATCGGGTGTCATCGTCAAGCGCAGCAAAGCGATAAGGCCATATGCCGCAATGGTCGGGACAGCCCCGGCTGAGACCAACGATGTGAATGCCACCTGACTGGGAATGATCGTACAGAGAAGAATGGCTGCAAAGATGTAGATGACGGTCACTGCATTGCGAGGTTGTCCTTTCGAGTCGACGGAGCCGATCCATCCGGACAATGGTAAAACCCCGTCTCTGGCGACCGCGAACACAAGGCGCGAGGACGCGACAATAGAAACAGTTGTGTTCTAGCAGGCCGGCTAATGAAAATCGGGACTACTTTAGCGAGGTAGCACACACCATGATCAGGCCGATGACCGCAATAATAGTCATAAAGATACTGGCTTTCCTTCCAAGAGCGAGCGCGTAGATCTGCACGAATGGCTGTGGCGCATCTAGGGCGAACACGGCGTCGAGGTCTGGTGTACAGAACAAAAACAGAATGGTCGTAATGAAGCCCAAAACACCTGTTGCAATTGCACTCCACAGAATCCCTTTGGCTGCAACCACACTGCGAGAAATCAAACAGAGACACCATTACGATATTGTCAAAAGCCATACCTAGCATTCTTGGTCTCCTCGGCGATGTGTCCTGAAGCATCAAAGCCAGTCAGGGTTCCCGCCGTGAATAACCTAAAATCATGTTAGATAATTGGCTGATCATTGAAATTATAATTCGACATACAAAGATAAGAGCCAGTTCCACCCAGGTGGGGCTCCTGTGCCGTTATCTGTCGTCAAATCAGCGTGACAAGGGCGTTGGCAGAGTGGACCTCTTACAGGTCATCGTGAAGACATCACTGGCGGACCGGAAACCGTAGGTATTCGAAACACCAATGGGCAACCAGATGAGACACAGGAAAAAGTCGAGCATCATGAGGCCGATGGAAAATTTGAAGACACCAGAATAAAATCTTGGCGGCAGGTAGTTGATAGCCACCGACAACAACAACATTCCTTCGGATATTGCCCATATTAGAGCCCGCCACTGGATATTGTCATTTCCGGCACCTCCAGGGAAGTCAATCTCCCAAACAGTAAGTTGAGAAACGATATAATTGGCTGTGGCCTATAAAATTGAGAATCAAGTCTATCGTCAGCTTAAATGACATACTTGGCAGTTGCTCGCGGTAAAGGTCATCCATGCAGTACATGCCCACCAGGCAACGAGGAAGCCGAAGAATCTGGCATGCTTTGGACCAGCACTTTCTGCAGCCCATATGTAAATAGAGCCGCTTAATGGTAACGCGGAACAGATCTCGGCGAGAACAGCAGCAGTGATAAACATGAAGACCATCGTAACAAGGTACATTGACCTGTGTTGGGATTAGAATGCACGAGTAAAACATAAATCAACGGACAAACCATATCGCGGCAGGTCCTCCCGCAAGGAGCCCGAGGAAGAGATAAGATCTATCGATCGGACGATGTCAATAATAGCAGAAGCGGTTGATGCAATTAGATACCTGACGCCTCCAATGAAGTTCAGGGCAACAAAACTTGCCGCAAAGCTCTCGATCAAGTGCCAGCTGCGATGTAATTGCTAAATCAGGTGAGATAGGATACCAATTGGGATACACATATAGTTTCACCTGTTTATAGCCGAGTTTTTCCTGAAATCATGAAAAAAATTGGAATTAGCACAAGATGCGTTACTCCTCGTAAGGAGTGTGAAAGAAAGGTGACACTGGGGGCTTCCCTACGCAGGTATGAGCGCTGTTCAGGTTCGAGCGGTATTATCTCAACCCCTACTGCAACTCAGAAGTCAGTGACAACCCAGACGTATCTGGGATGGTCAAAAACGGTTCTGAGTTGGTCAGCAGTAGGGATACCCGCAGCCGTCCAGTTTATCATCGACGTTACCGATTAATTCAGTGATGCCATACGCGTCATTTCCTGCAAGGTCATTCCCTTCTGTCGTTGAGGAGTGAATTACCAGCTGCAGGGCGTCCTGTGGTTGCAATAGATGCACTTTCACTATCACCAACAACATCGTCTGTCTTCTGTACTCCAATGCTGGAATGGTTGGACATCGTGTCAAGCGAACGGGAAGATAACGAGGGTAAAGGTACGAGTGGGATCAAGGCAGGATGGTATAAATACACTTGAATGATGAAGTTGTAACTCCGAAGCAAAATCACGCGGAAAAAATCTTTGATAAAGTGCATCAATTGTGATCTATAACTTCCGGCCGCCACGGACTGTCATGAATATTTATTGAATATTGAGATGCTGAGGAACCATAGTTGAACATCTGAGAAAGGGAGGGTGAATTCAGAGGCTTACGGGTTTGAGAGCTTTGATTAGGAGCCACTCCTCATTAGAAACATCAGCCTTGAAGGACGTCTAGACGTGGCTAATGTTAGCTCTGGAGTCGATAGCACCATGTGCAGTCAAACCTTGAGAACATCAATGCTCTGTCTTGTGATGTGACTGAAAAGTTCATCCTTTTCATCGAAGTGTCGACCAAACATTTTTCCTGATTCATACACAGCGTGTTCGATCTTCACAGCAACGCCACCACCAGATTGAGATTTCTTCACGATCTGCAGGGCCAGGTTCAAGGACAAGATATCAACACAGGATAGGACAAAAAACTTACATCGAATGATTTGTGGTTGATCTCCAACGACGTGCTTGTTACAGGACTATGAGCAGTAATACTTAGAAAGTCTGAAATGAAGGACTTACACCTTCCCAAGGTCAATAATTTCTTTCTTCTGTGTGCTCGGATCGACCGTGACAACACAAATCGGAGTGCCCACCCGAAGAGTCCCATCCAAGATGTCAACTCCCAAAATAATCGGATCACGTTTACAGAAGGCAGCTATAATTTTCAGTCTGCACGGCCACACCGCTTGTGGAGCCGCGTCTCGTCGCTTCGCCTCCATGATTTCGTTGTTATAGGCAGTGAAGGCGTCAAACAGATGGTAGATGATGTCAGCTGCATGGCGAGTCAGAACAATCACCGCACTAACAACGGAAACTAAAACCTTTGAACACTTTGATGCCCATTTCCTCAGCGAGCTTTTCCGTGTCCCTGTCAACCGGTACATCAAAACAAAGAATGACAGCGAGCTCCTTGGCCTTCTCTAGCATTGTGGCAGCGCGCATGACGTCTTTCTTGTGCACGGGACCGATATTAATCCCCGAAACAGGGATTTTGCTGACTTTCAAGAAGTCGAGCAACGCTTCGAGAGATCCTAACGTACTGGCTTGCACGCAAACTCCACGACCTGACTTGTCGACGGAGTTTAAAAGCGAGGTAAGGTCTGACATGACCTCGTCGAGCAAAACTTCCTCGTCATCGTCTGGCCCAACGACAAGGAGCCGTGAACCCGCAACAGCTTTATCAAGATCGGGAGCAACAAGCTTGACACCCAGTGCCGCCTTGACTTCTTTATGGTGAACATATGCTGACTATGAAAAGAATATAAGTTCCACCCTGAAAACACTCCGACAAAATGTACACTTGCCTTAATTCGCAGCTCGCGAAGCGGCTGAGGTGTTAACAATGCACGGACCTGAGTGACGATCGGGCCATTAAGACCACACACGATTATTTTGTCACCTTCACGTAGGATACCATTGGACAAAACAACATCAATTGTTGTGCCCAAGCCTTCTACTACCTTAACTTCGAGGACGGTACACTCTAGCTCTGAGAGGTACATCAAGCGATCGCTCATGCGTTGCTGGGTAAGATTGACCAATAGCATGATCATATCTGGAACGCCTTCCCCGGTGATGGCGGAGGTAGGTACCAGAGAAACATTGCGGGCAAAACTCTTGTTCTCGTAGTATAGGACTGCGTTTAACCCCTGTTCTGCAAAGGCGAGGATGGTCTTTTGTACGCGATCTTCGAATTCTCGTTGCACAGATCGTTTTTGCTTCGCAAGTGATTCTTGGAAGGCGCCGTCGGGTGTTTCTTTCCAGCCATATAATCGGTCAATCTACGAACAGAAATCGGAACCAAACACCAGAGAATATCAAGTAGATCCACCTTGTTAAGGGCCACGATGAACGGTGTTTTTTTGTCTCTCAATAGCCTTAACGACTCCAGCGTCTGTGGCTCAAGGCCGTGCTGGAATGGGCAATGAAAAGATATCTTTAGCAGAGAATTAGAGCGTACCATTATATCTACCACCAAAATCGCGATGTTGCACAGAGAACTTCCACGGCTACGCAAGTTGGTGAATGATTCGTGTCCAGGTGTATCGATAACCAACAATCCAGGGATTTTGTATTCTTGAGAGTTGTCCTGGTATCATTGTTCAGAACACAGGAACCATTAGAACAGTCAAGTGACCAGCCTTATTCATTACTGCAGTCTTCGTCTTTATTGCATCTAACGGGAAGTACGTGGCACCTATTTGCTGGGTAATGCCGCCTGCTTCGCCTTCTTGTACATTTGTTTGACGGATCTGAATGGATGAGCATGACAGATAAAGACATGCAAGAAAACAACGGACCTTATCCAAAAGTTTCGTTTTACCGGTATCAACATGTCCGAGAATACAACAGATAGGGCTGCGGAGGTTATCCTTGTTATCTTTACTTTGCACCGTAGTGGCAGCCGTATGTGTTTGTGCTGATCTCGCATGCGCCTTAGCTGTCCCTGCATCTGCCTTTTCTGTCTTTGAATCTGCTAGCGTTGTGTCGGGTGGATTCTGGTCGACGTGAACGCCAGTTTGGATTTCTGATTGTTCTGGTTGCATCTCCTCCGAGTCAAGACTTTCATCTGATTCATCTCCGCTACTTGCATCCCACTCATCCTTCACTCCGTCCAACTTAGCTTCCTCGGCAGCGGGTTCGACATGTGAAGGGGCGGAAGTCTCGAGGATGTCGTCTGGAGTTTCCGGTCTCGACTCAGGGGCAGGCGAAGCTGTGGCCTCCTTAGCAAGAGGACCCTTCTTCTTCCTATTACTAAACGCGACCTTCTTTGCAGGAATACTTGTCTGCTGTTGCAGCCCTTCAATCTGAACACCGGATGCCAGGAGCGCCTGCCGACGAAGCTCAGCGGCTGCCTTTTCTTCCTTCTGTTTCTTCGTCATGTATCGACCCTCCTTCTTGGCTAGCTCAAGCTTGGCCTGAAAAGGCCTGTAAGCAGATTACTTTTAGGTCTAGATGCTGGATCATGCCTTTTCCTTTTCCTTCTTCCGTTGTTTCTCCTCTTCTTTGCGCTTTGCCTCCTCTTCTGCTTGTCTCTCCTCCTCCTCTATACGTTTCCGTTCCTCCTCCTCTATTCTTCGCGCCTCTTCCTCCAGTCGCTTCTTCTCCTCCATCATAGCCTTCAGGGCACCGAGGCCGCCTTTGGCCTTCTTTGCAGGTGCGGAAGTTGGGGCAACGGCAGGAACGCCGTCCTCATCTTTCTTTCCTTTCTTCTTCTTTTTCTTCTTCTTTGGGTCCGTCTCACCTGCACCCGCCTCTTCGCCATCTTCGTCGTCCTCAAGTGCTGTAGCATTGGCGTTATTTGCAGGTGCGGGAGGTGGCGGAGTCGGGACAGCAGCGGGAGCGATGTCCTCATCTTTCTTCCCTTTCTTCTTTTTCTTCTTCTTCTTTGGATCCGACTCCCCAGCATCAGCTCCTTCACCGTCTTCTTCATCCTCGAGCACCGTAGCAGTGGTGTTATGTACGGGTGCGGGAGTTGGGGCGGCATCAGGAGCGACATCATCATCATTCTTCCCTTTCTTCTTTTTCTTCTTTGTCTTTTGGTCCGGCTCCGGGAACTCATCCTCAGCTTGCGCGGTTACGTAGACGGGCATGCGATCATCATCAGATTTCCCGATCTTGTCACTGATAGCGTTGTAGTTCTCCGCTGACACACCAGCAGTCTCCCTGAGACTTCGTCACTGGGGCAAATCGATATTAACTCCAATAGGCTCACCAATAGTCATCATCGTTCGCTTTTCCTTTCTTTCCTTTGTTTTTTGGCGGCATGGTTGATACGATCGCCAATCGCTTGTAGTAGAGGAGAATTTGGGTTGAGGGATAGACTTTGTCATCTAATCAGTGTAGGGAGCCTGCTTGTTGAACAAAACAGGCGCGTAATTCTCACGTTCGCCCAACGTCTCGCCTTCAATATTTTCGTCACAGCTGCTCCATAATTCCCCCAGCGACCTGCGCTTGTCTCCACTCGAGAATTCCAATAATGTAGACCATGGTGTATGACTCAAGTCTTGCAAAGGTCATCATCATTAATTTAGGGTCAATTCAGGTTACTACAGGTAAGATGTCAGGCTGCGTCTGCACATGCTGTCTCACAGAAAAACAATCCAGGCAGGAAGGCGATCTACTGAACTCGATCTTTTGGGTTCTCTTAATTCTCGAAGCCCACCAAGTTGTTCTTTGGCGAATATATGCCCTTGAATGAGCAAAAACATAGTTTAACATGTCCGTATTGTCATCAGCATCGAAATTCTCGCCATATGGATCCCCAATCCTTCCTTATCGCAGCGAGTTCTATGTCTGCTATTGACTACGCTATCCTCGTGGACGGGGAGGTTTGTCTTTATTGTCGGTGCGCGCAGCACCGATTCCGTTGGCCAAGCTTTTTACACGCACGATGCAAATATGGGTCATGTGGACTCTCGTACATGCCATGCAAAATTCCTGAATCAGCGATTTAGCGATTCATAACTGAGATGCTCGCCGGATCGTCGCCTCCTGCCAGTATTGTTGACGTGATTCGTCGATTTAGACTAGCGTTGCGCAGTGGCCGACGAGGATCAGCAACGCACGACTCTGCTGAGCAATGCAACGAATATCCTCGATGTCGATGCTTGAAAGCAGCAGTAATATAATTATCGCATCTGACAGATTGAAAACCTTCCTTAGTTTTTCATTGAGCTAACTTCATATGTATTGACTTTGACGCTAATCGAAAATCCTGCATGTGCCAGGACATCAGGACATTCTGTGGGACATTTGTCGAGAACATGTTAAGGAGACCTTGTAAGTAATATTGATATCAACCTTCGTAGATTAATGCTGATACATACCACTACATTCTTCTAGTAGACTTCTATGACACGAGTCAGCCCGCAATGAAATACTCAACCAATAATTGATCTACTGAGCTGTATTTCTTCGCGCTTGCCTCAGCCTAAGCTCAAGGCTGTTTGCGATATCTATGATGTTCCATGTGAGCTCAATTGTTCGTTTCTTCTGTTACATTGCAGACTCCGCTGCATGCTGTCATTTATGTAATAATTTATTTCGTGGCTCTCCATCTCCAAGGTCACGCTCCGCGTAAATAAAGCCTTCTGCATCACAGCAAGCCATCTGCGGACGATCTTTCCGAAGATCTTCAGAGGCCTTGGGAGTGAAACAACCACTCTCCAGACGCTCGGTGCAGTCTCCAAAGACCCGGTGCGGTCTCCAAACACTTGGTACGTGTCCTAATTTTTTCGGGTGCATAAAGTTGCGTTCCAGCTACTCGGTTGTTGTGCTTCCCGCATGGTATGCAATTCGTGTGAATTTCGTGAGGTTTTGTGTGAGCTCCTTGGTCTTTGCAGAGCTCCACATGCTCACGGAGAGACTGACATGCACGTTATGGAGGTGGGTGCAGTGCACTGTGTCTGTGTCAGCTCATTTTCTAATGAGCGGATTGCGCCCGTGCTTACAGAAGTTCTCAGTGTTGCTGAATTACCTCTATAGATTCTCGACTCGCGATGACCCTAGCTCCATCAGTCGTGGCTATGACTCGGTGTGAGTGTCGCCTGACACGCAGCATGTCCATTGTGAACTATAGTATATGTCTGAGTGCGTCAAGTGACACGTCTCTCAACCTTATGCAATATCAAAGACAGCGAACGCCAACGAGATCACCTTGCAATGGTAGTTGAACTTTGAACATTTTGGGGTTTCGATCAATCCGGACGAATAACTTGTGTATCTATGCAAATCAATATAGTACATTACGATTATCTGCTCCGCGATGCTGCGACGGGCTCGGGAAAATTCCCTAATTCAATAAAAAAAGCGGTTGATACTACCGTAGAGTCCCAAAACGGTTCTGTATTGATTGATTGTATTTGCCAGCCAGTCTGAGGATCTGACGAAGTGTCACTCTTTGCTCCGACGACCAGTCAAAGTATTACACCTTCACCATGGGCCTACTCACGATCATTCGTAAAAGCAGGCAAAAAGAACGGGAGATGAGAATTCTCTTCCTGTACGCTATCCGCAGCTCTCCGAGTTTATCCTTCCCACTCAACCACCGCCCAGAGGACTGGATAATGCTGGTAAGACGACCATCCTAAAGAAGATCAATGGGGAAGACATATCCAGCGTGAGCCCCACGCTTGATTTCAATATCAAGACGTTCATTCACAGAAAGTGAGCCTGGTAACTCAACTTGGATTTTGTCTGCGACTGAGAGGAATCTTCTCTGTTTGATCGGCGTGATGCCACGCGTCACAGATACACTCTCAACATTTGTTAGTGAACAAACCCCCCTTATGCTTTTCTTGTGACGGAAATATCTTTGCTATCAGGGGATGTAGGCGGACAACGAACTCTTCGACCATACTGGCGCAACTACTTTGAACAAACAGATGGCATTGTTTGGGTGGTCGATTCAGGGGACAGAATGAGAATGCAGGACTGCAGAGAAGAGCTACACAATCTTCTTCTCGAAGACGTAACATATGTTCCTTACGCTGGTTGCTGACAGCAACTGACCAAATTGTGTGCTAGCGGTTATCTGGCGCTTCTCTGCTTGTCTTCGCGAACAAACAAGATATACATGGCTCGATGTCAGATCTTGAAATCAGCGAGGTCAGCTTCCTTACCATTCAGAGAGTCTCGAGTGATGCTGATGAGTTCATCCAGGCACTGGATCTACCTGGGATCAAATCTCACAACTGGAAGATCTGGTCGTGCAGTGCAGTTACTGGTCTTAATCTGATCCAAGGCCTCGACTGGGTCGTTGAAGATGTAGCCCACAGGCTTTACTACAGCTCGACTAGTTTCGCGTAATGTTTTTCCCATCTCGCGCACACGAAAATCTGGAACATCTGCTTGTGAATGCCCTTCTTTCACTGAGACGCATCGACCATGTCGATTTCGCGCCGCATGACGGTCTAGGTTTCATTTCCGCAGCATGCAACCGAAACTGCAACCTCATTCTTTAGACGGCCCGCATTCTTTCCTTCCAGAGAAGGAGCGGGGGCGTCGGGCGATCGACTTACCAACATGTTACGGCCTGCCCGTATGGGTATAACCTTGAGTGAAAAGCAAGAATTCGTGCTATTTACTTGAAGTTGTCTCCAGCAACAGTCGTTTCGATTCCTGAAAATCCAGTGGGCCAAAGAACTTTACATATCCACTGCTCAGTCTTTACTCGTTGGCGCCCACAGCGCATACTTTGGGCAGAAGGTAACTGCACACGTAAAATTTGACAGGGAGACAGGCCTTCATGATCAACGCTTCAGGATTAGTGTATGAGATTCGAGGGTGCGTACTCTCAGTGGTTACCGAACCTTGAGATTGTCGAGGCATCTTCACTGGTAAGACTCAAAATGTCAGTGCGGTTGCGGATAAACCAACATTCCGAGTCGGCAGAATGACGCAGATCACCTGTGGTCCTACATCAGGGTACCGTCCAATCACCTACTACGTTTACCCACACCCATCCCCACCCCATTGCATAGCTTTAGGCGGAAATTCTCTTTTCCTGAATCAGACTAGCTATAGTAGAAATTCACGTTGTGCATTACGCACTTATGAACGATAATCCGATTATCATGAAACAACTATTATCGTCATATCAGCTCGGATCAGCCGGTGCATAATCGTGCCTTGGTAAGAACCAAGAGTATTCATATAGAGCTTTTTGCGAGATACACGGACAAACTTGAGCGAACTTGAGGTAGCATTACGAGAACGTAGCGCCGACGAGCGCTCGATAAATTCGGTTCTGAAATTCAGTGTGTAGGGATATTCCGAGTGTAAAGACTGATAACTAGACTAGGACGAATCTACCCGAGTGGAAATTCTGAGAAGACCAGACATGTATCAAGAATATTGCCGGAGTTCTTGATGATCATTTGGCGATGTGCCCCGTGCTCGGTTCAGGGGCAACCTGGGCAGTGTGCAAGCACATTAAAAACACGAGGGATCATCTCTTATAGAACATGAAAAACCTGACGGATGATCAATTTAGGCAGGAGTTGGTATCGAGGTCAGGGAGGGGCAGGGCTAGGGTCACGGTGATCCATTGAGTTGTAATGGCGATGATCGCACTCCGTAGCCCTGTGGCGGGCTGCATGTGCGGCAAGCCGGTCAAAGACATGACGTTCAACGCAGAGCAATGCATAAGACGCTGGGCTAAGATGTTTCACTTTACTGTATTCAATAAATGACCCTAGGCGACATACTAAGCTTTGGTTAGCACCAAAGTTTAAGCTTTCCGAGCCCCCGGGGAAAGCCGGATCACGGTGAGCTGCGCGGTTGCTGCTCACCGAGCGCGGAACAAAGCGATAACTGACCTGCTGACCTCAACTAAGCTGTGCACTAAGGGCACTCGTGGATTCCTAACGAAACATCATTATACACCATGGAGACATTCTAACAGGGATATATGACCTCCCTGACCGAGGGTCACGAGTGACTATAGTCGGCGAACTGAATGGGTGGTGGAGCAAACAAGGATCAAACCCGATAAGGCGTCGATGGAATGGAATGAAGAGAGAAGGAGCGTGTTTGCGAGAGCACAGGGTAGCAAACATTGGAAAACATTTTAGTCCGTTTGAAGGAACGGCGTACGATCAAGATAAAGTATCTGGGATGATCGGCGTCTCGTGCGAAGGCCGGCTTGTGTGACTAGAGTGGGTCACGGTTTCGTAGAGGAAGGTGGAGACTGCGACTCGATTGTGTGCCTTTCGCGGTCAGGACAATTGAATCACAATGCCGCGTCACAGTACTGAGTTCAGATTATTGTTCTGCAAAACTGATGTTTCATTATTGGTCCCAGTGTTACAAGGGATATAGATTAAAGTCTTGGGTGAGACTTGAAACCAAGTTGTACGTTTGAATAGTTCTTTGTTTGAGTCGCGTACTTACGGCACCACGTGACGAGTCAACCTTTCAGAGTTTTGTTGAGCTGGCGTCTGACCCTGGCCGTATGGCAGTGACAGTGTTGCAACAAGGCCATACGACACGGAGTCAATTAAAAGGACAGAGGCACGGAACGGCGTGGGGAGGGAGGAGTGGACTGTGGGAGCCACGTGTCGCTTGCAGTTGACCGTGGATTAGCTTTTACCTGTCGCAAACTTCCGGTCTTCCGGGGGGGTCTTCTTTATTGTTTTACGCAAGTCTGTCACACACCCTTCGCGGAGTCAATAGCCATCCAGCAACGGATCTATATTCTCGTCAAGTTTTACTCCGTCAAAATTACTAGATCTCGATCCTAGACTTGCCAAGTTCCCATTCCAAACTATGCACTGTGTTCTATTTTTGCCGGTCTCAGTCCACGATTTCCTTCAACCGACACCATGACAAGGTCCTCCGTGGGTCCAACGTATAAAAGGGAGGAGGACAAGGCCCATTGCTTTCCTCCACAGCTGCACTGTACCTTCGATCTTCCCTTTCATCAGGCAGTCTATCATATACTTTTCTTTATAAAAATGTTGAATGCAGCGACCTCTTCCGCTTTGACATTCTCGTCAACTCCAAATTTCTATCGTTCCCCTTCGTCACTATCTATTGTTCTTCCAAATCCAAAATCTATTATCCTAAGTTATGGTGAGTCAATCATACATAGTTCTAACATGTCTCGTCTGACATATATCCTACTTAGCGCGGAGCTCGGTGCTTGCCGTCATGGAGAAAGCGATCACTCGCGGACACTTGACAGTCGCCGATTCTGAAGGTGTCCATCACTTCGGAACTCGTTCAAAAGGTTGTAACGATGTCTACCTCAAAGTCGTGAACAGCGACTTCTGGATGCGTATCTTGTTGTACGTCACCTTCAGCTCCTTAGTGTATCCGGATGCTAATAATACTCTAGCTCTCAAGATCTGGGCTGTAAGTTAATCCTACGCCATATCTCTTGAATAACAATTGAACTTTGTATAGTCAGTGAAGCCTATATGATGGGTGACGTCGAAGTCGACAGCCTGAAGGGTATCATGGACGTAAGTCGTGTCAACTGCTTTACTGCGGCTACGTATGAATTCTTTTTTCCAATAGCTTTGGCTGGACAATGAGTCTGGAATGGACAGTTTGACCTCGGCTGTGTCACGGGTAACTTCGGCAATCTCCGCACTATCAAATGCATTTCTCGGCCAGACGCGCTCGAAAGCACGCTTGAATGCCATCGCTAGCTACGATCAGTCAAATGAGCTGTTCAAGGTAATGAAATGTGTTTTCACGGCAATATTACGATCTCACAAGACTTTACCTCAGGCCTTCCTGAGTCAGGAGATGATGTACTCTTGCGCCCTATGGACCGAAGCCGAAGGGGGTGTTCGTGGAGACTTGATCTCTGGTCCCACACCCGGGGACTTGGAAGCTGCCCAGCTCCGTAAAATTCGTTATGTCCTCACCACCGCCAAAGTCAAGCCAGGTGACCGAATCCTAGAATTTGGCTCTGGATGGGGCGGTATGGCTATCGAGGTCGGTTGCATCATAAATCCTTGTGCTGCTATCCCTCATCTTCATCTGTTTCAGGCTGCTCGCACTTTTGGCTGCGAAGTTGACACTTTGACCTTGTCAAAGGAACAAAAGGCTCTTGCTGAGGAACGCGTTAAGGCGGCTGGCCTGCAAGATGTCATTCGTGTTCATCTCATGGACTACCGCGAGATCCCTCCTTCTTTCGAAAAGGCCTTTGACGCATTTATCAGCATCGAGATGCTTGAGGTACGCAATCAGTTACTAGTGGTGGCATAGTGATGATTTACGCTCGACCATGTAGCACGTGGGCTCCAAGTACTACCACGATTACTTCAGACTTGTCGACTTTGCTCTGAAGTCCAGCAATGCAACAGCTGTGGTTAGCGCATCGACATTCCCGGAATCGCGATACTCTGGCTATCAGTACGTTGTTTGCATTTCTAATTTTCCACTTTGCTCACCCAAAGATTTAGGCCTGAGGATTTCATGCGCAAGTACATGTGGCCTAACTCCTGCCTCCCCAGTGCCACGGCACTCATTACCGCCGCAAACACCGGTTCAGAAGGGCGCTTCACCCTCGAGGGTGTCGAAAATCACGCAGCTCGTCAGTGCTTTTTTTGCTCCACATGGCGTTCTTAACCATTAAGCCTTGTGTACGTGTAGACTACCCGCGGACACTGCGCGAATGGGGACGTCGTCTTGACGCCAATGTCAGGCAAGACTTGATTGTCAGAGACTACCCTAGTCTAAAAGACAAGGCCGAATTCGATGCTTTCCGGCGCAAATGGCAATACCTGTTTGCGTATGCGGGCGCCGGTTTTGCCAAAGGTTACATCACCTGCCATATGCTTACTTTCACCCGTCCCGTAAGTTGTTGTCATTTTTTTCTTGGCCCATTCCCTAATTCCATTCATAGAATGACTGCCCCGCAACATGCGATTGATATTAAAGTGCATCATTGCCCGCGTTCTGAATCAGGGATTCGACTGCGGGAATAATACTAGAAAAGGATCTCATACAGATCGGTGCCTTTGCACATAGAGTCTCGTGCACATTATTACTTTATTCTTCCGATTATTGTGCTGATTATCTCGTGCTTATCTATTCCGCTCAACTGCGCACAATTTCGTTCTACTCTACTACTGTATCAATACGTTGCATAGGTCCGCGACTTTATATCGTTACTTTGCATCCATACACGCGTTACTACCTGTCTTTTATTTACGTACGGGAATATTATTGCTCTATGATCCGCTACCCTTGGTTTGACAACTTGACTTCGCCGCTGCTGCAAGGAACTTGTTCCGAGCAAGACCCCAGTGGTCAAAGAGCTTCCTATTGGTCGCCGGCAACCTTCGGCTTTGACGCCCCTGAAGGCTGCCAGCGACGGACCACTACATGACACTCGAGGTGAGAAAGATCTCATCCTACATGACTATAAACTCCGCTTCCTCTCGCATCCGCAAAATTGAAGTTCTATCGTCTAACTTTCGATCACGACCTGAAGAAGACCATTGGCAGAGGTGTGAACATTTCGCACTTGCACCATCTATTGCCGATGTCGGTTTGTCACATTGTCATGTCAAAAACTTCTTCTCTACAATGCCGTCATAGACGCGACGGTGATTGCCACAGCTCCTGAGACATAAAATAGAATTTCTCGACAGGCACGACGGAAATCGCCATCGAATATTGAGCGTTTGCTGCTGTGTACGTATAGCGGCATCTGCAAGAACGACCACGGACTAGGCGCGGCATTTCCTGATGCAAGTTTAGGTTTGAGCCAAGTTTGAACGACAATGTGGAACTGCCACTGCCAGTGTCAGTGGCCGCCACAATATTATTCACCCTATCCGTGCCAGGCCTAGGTTGATGGATCATGCAGGCTCCACTCCCGGAGCCCTGTCTCACTTGACTCCACTGGGATCCCGACATTTCCGTTGATATCTGGTCGTCAACGCACGAGTACAAGACAAACACTAGGCAACGCTTTAAGTTTGCAGATGACTACTAAAGGCGTGCTCAGCCTACAGACACAATCGCATGGCCCTGAACAAGCGATGGCCGCGTGAGATATAATGTGTTAGTACAAACCGATGGTACAATTGAGTGAACGTCAAATGACTTGTCAGATGGACAGGGAAGTTATAGAAGTATGTAGCCCCATTATCCGCATACGTAGTTCGTCTCGAAACCTTAAACGATGGATGAAATAAGCATGGTGAATGCGTGTGATGCACAGATGCGGTTGCGATACTGCCAGTGGTGCCACAACGTTGTCATCTGTTTGCAAGAGAATATTTTTCCTTGTCAAGCCTCCGACAGATGGTTGCGATATATAGTAAGTTCATTCAATAATGACATGAGCTGTCTACAAGTGGTGGAGGGAATAACATACGTAAGGTGTAGCATAAGAGACAGATGTATGACGAACAATAAACCGACAATGAAATGTGAATCCGCAACATGGAAGCAGCAATGCTGTGTGGTATATTAGATAGTGCCAGTAGGGTCAAGCTTTGAAGTCCATGTCTGTAACTCCTTGAACGAGGGTGCGGCGAGTACGTGCGAGTTCGCAGTAGTAAAGAGTGTAAAACAAAATTGTTTCTATATGAATCTAAGCACGAATACATCTGAGATACGGATAGGAGGGCTTACATCCAAAAGCAGATCTTTTTGTGCATCACATTCAAGGTTTGCTCCGTGAAGACTGATAATACCGGCCTCCTCCAATTCGTTAGAGTGTGTGTAGATATGTAAATAGGGTCTAAATCAACCGTAAGCAGTGTTCGGCATGGAAAATTTGTTGGATTACCTTCGAAGGACGAACCAGCGCTTTTCCCAAACATTTTGACTGGCGTCTGTCAGAATCAGGAGATGGCCTCTTTTCGTGGGTCCGTCACTATGGAGGGGATTAGAGTTCAGGAACGGTCATAATCAATTAAGTAACCAGGAGCTTGCCTACGGGGTACCAGCGTAGCGGAGGAGTTCAGTTTCACGCCTTCTGGAAGCTCACGGGTGGAAGGCTTCCCAGATGTAATAACACAGTCGGTCTCTGTCGGAACTTGACTCAGAATGATCTGGGAATAACTGATGTCAAATTATGTAAATCCAACTTGAACCAGCTTACTTCTCCTGCATGGCCAAAGCGTTTTTGCCAGAGACCCAGTGCCTTCCGCAGCAGTGCTTCCGAACCCCAAACAGCAGCTCCCGAATCAGGGCGCACAGGCACGGGTAAACATGAAGATGCCGACAGCACCCGAACTGCTTGGACATCCGCTGCCCGCCGTTCCGTTAAGACAAGCCGGTTGTAGTCCTCCACGGCTGAGATACCACGCGGTTTCCACGTGCTTAGTAACTCCTCGCCGCGCACATATTTTTCCGACGTATCCAAGCGCCACAAATCCTGAGGCGAACGTGTCAGAGGAGGCGAAAGACGTAGGTTGAAGATTGAGCCGATACGGGAGGTGATCTTTCCCGAACTTAGGAACGTTAGGAATCGGTGTGGCGGGCGTGCGTCCCGTGTCTGAATGGTGACCGCAATGTCCATGCTAAACTGTACTGGTTCATTACACGTGTCCACAGCAACGGACCAGGCAACCTGTAGTACCACTCGGTGTGCACTCGCCGTGACTCGATTGAGCAGGAGAGAATCATGGACGCTTGAGTCCCATAGCGCTTCCGCCATGAGGGTCCCCGTTCCGTCCGGTCTGAACGCCACACTTTGATCTGCCAAGAGCGGGAGCGTAACCATTGCATTCGATGTCGAGTTGTGCTGGCGACCTTTCGGATCGAGGAGGCGGACATTTCCCAGACGTATTCTTGTGACATCTGTCCATGGGAGTTGTGGTCCAGAATCTGATAAAAGCACGAGAGCAATCCTGCGCTGCAGTCCCTGACGCAGAGAGAATACCCCCGGATCGAGGCTGCTCTGGGAAAGCACGGGTACTGGAATATACTGACCATCAGCCCCAAGCTCCTTGATCTGGACATAAGCGACTACGTCATGGGTTTGCTCCACTACAAAATCGGTTTCCGAGCGGCGCATCTGGGGAAGGATAACCGGAAGTGTGTCTGTGTGGGCCCCGGGAGGACCTGGCCAGTCATGAACCCTAAGTTCGCGCATCTCATCCCAGCGCTCAAGACGCTCCAAATAAGTGGGTTTAGCAGCCGCAAAGAACTCTATGGGAGCATAGCCTTGACGCAGGTATGTGATTACCTTAGAAGAAGTCACGATCGAAAATGCACGTCGAAACTTCAGCTCCGACAGAGAAGATGTCTCCACATCAAGTGCAATGGATGAGAATATCTCTTCGTTCGTGAGTGATGGTCCCACGAAAGATGATAAACGCAGTTGGAGGTGTAGTGCCGAGAAGTCGTGTGAGGATAAACCTTTGATCGAATCTACGGTTAGGAAGAAGCTGATCTTGCTTCCGGGCGGTATGGCCGATGGGGCTGGGGATGTAGGGCGGGTTGATGCGGGAGTACCATGCTTCGATGTTTGCAGAACACTGGTAATCTTAATATCCACGCGACACGAACCTATTGCTTCCGCAGTGTACCGGCAGAATATTGGCACGACTGATGTAGACGATATTCGGCGAGATAGGGGTGCAAGTGATAGTAGGGCATTGCCGATGAATGAGAATTGTGGGGGAGGAGAATCGTAAAAAGGTTCATCCGAGCTGAAATGCTGGGTATAGGATGGTCTGTCGATGTATGTAGTCAAGTTTCTCATTCGCTTGACTCGCTGCTGAAGTCGATCCAAGGACCAGGTGTAGATAGCATTATGCCGTTTGTCGAGAACCTTGACGGCGACGGAAGGCTGAGTTGCTGATGCTAGTGTGGGGTCGGCAACATCACCAAAGCCGTCCAGACCTCCGATTGTATCGACTCCAGATATCGGAGCTGCCAGGGACCCGCCGGAAGCAATGGTGAAGTTATAGGAAACTTCCTTGCCCAACTCTTTGCTAATTTGAATGAGACAGTTGATATCTGGAAATTCAAGTATCAACGCACCTAATTACGTTGGCTTCTTTCACAAGCACGGCATTGGACAGAACAGCTTCAGCCATTGAAAATGATCGATGGGCTCTCCACTTGTCCAGGACTTTACGAATGAGCCTTAACTGTCTTGCCGTATAAATGACGGGCTCGAAATGCACAACCTCTTCCTCAGATTCTCCCCGTGCCCGTGCATTTATTATGCGCTTAAGCTGCTGCTGCACCATTTTCAGTTGGTGCTCCATATGATCTTTCTCTACTTTCAAGTCTTCCGCCTCACTAGACTCTGTGATGGCTTGAAGACGGGACTCGAGTTGGTACTGAACGTCCTTTAGAGGTCCGTCAACGTCAGGTGTACTGTGACTCGCTCCAGCTTCAAGGCTCGTGTCGTCTGTAGTAGCGTCACTCAAAAAAGGTCGACCTGACTCGCTCCAGACATCATCCCGAACGCTAAGGCTACTTTCTGGTCGCGGTTTAGAGTTGTGATCTCGCATCGACTTCACCTTCGTAATGCGTTCGAAGAGCCTATTGATATCTTCGTCCGGTAGGTTATCAAGAGCGGGATCCAGGCCAAGGCGGGCGAGTGCGGCTTCTCGACGTGCAAAATTCCAGTCTACATCAGCTTCGTCTGCAGAAGATGCCCTCGATTCCGGGCGTGTGGATGGTGACACTGAATCCCCTTCCACATCGGCAACAGATACACTCAAGTGCATGTTGGATCTCGCTGTGGCGCGATCACGTTGCTTGCGGACTTCCTCAGGATTATTAAACCTGAAGACGTGGTGTTCCCCTAACAATACAGATAAGCTATTCTCCACCACTAAGAGGAAATATGTTCATACCAAGGATGATGCGGTATCCAGAACGCAATTTATAAGACTACATCAATGGTATTGAGTTCTTTCCTTTTAAAAACTAATTGGTTTACCTGTCCAGGAG